TTACACTTTCCACACAAGGTACTATCAATTATTTTAAAAAAAAAAACGAGTTTACTTATGCAATATCAATCGCAAACTAGTCCTATTAAATAAAACAAAAAATGACTTCAAAACTCGAAAGCTCACAAGGAGAGGCTTCGAACAGTTAAAACAAATCTGAAGTTTAACAAACGCATAATACTTACTTGAGAACCAGGACTCGGTCGAGAAAGCTTTGAAATGTGTCCAATCTTTGTTCTCGCAGTAAATATTGTAGTTTTTTTTTTTTCCTACGATATATTAGGTTAAGTCGGGGTCATTGTCTACCAGCCTTACGTGCGATCCCCGTTAACAGTAGGAGCGTAATAAAACGTTATAGAGCTATGGGCTATCTCTTGAAATAGGTCGTCTATAGCGATTGCAGTTGCTGAGCGCTTGGTCCTCGACTAATTCCAAATACGGCAAACTTTTCAGATGCTTGTGTGAGTGAGGAACAATAAAAAAAATAAAAATGTTTCACAGGTGCATGGCTCTGCGGCATATCATACCAGAGTATTCAGCACCCGTCTGCACTTGTTACCTTGTTTACGACACCGAAACCTCAAAAATACGCGTTCCTGTTTCCACAAAATCAAGCAAATTTATTTTTGCAAAATCAGAATAAAAGAATCCAGTCTCAATTTTTTTTCGGTTTAGAAACAGCGGTATCTTGGAAGTATGAGCCATACAATTTGTTCCCCGAGTTCCTCTGTTTTCAGCGTGTTTCATTTCCTTTTTGAACGACCAGGTTCTTTTTTGAATCCCTAGTAAAATTAATTTTTGGATTTGCTTCTGGTCAGCCATTTTTCAAGCTGGCCGATAAGGTTGACTCTGTGTAATGATATATGTGAGTTGGTTAACCGCTTCGCTTTTAAAGAACGGGGGCGCGGAGGGGGAGTGGGGCGAGCGCTAATCCTTCGTGACGTATTGTGACGTAGTGTTATATGCAAACGTAGACTGCATTGATTACCACTTTTAAAGCGCGAGTAGGCAACTGAAAGAGAGATTAAAATGTACATCGCGCTGCACTGTTAAGAAGTTAAATATCGCAATTTTGTTTCTTTATCAAAAGGCTGCCTTGAAAATTTCTAGTGTAGTGAAAGGTGCTCATTTGAAGCTCTAACTTACGCGATACAATTTGAGGCTCGTCCATTCAACACTTGCGTCAAACAAGAAAAAGCTTCAGTGTCGTGTTCGCGTTCACAGTGTCGCGCAGTTTTCGCTAGATTGTATTAGCGATGGTAATTAGCCTTGACCAAGTTATAACCTGTGCAAAGCATGAAGTGCATCTCGCTTGTGAGCCGCTCGTACCAGCTGTTTAATAGCGCCGATTAGCAGAAAAAGAGAGGCTTGCTTTACAAGCACGCCTAGTGCGTGAACGCGTACTCCCAGGACTCGGCTGCGCGTCAGACAGGCTGGAAGGGCGAAACGTGCACAAAAATTTAAAGTATTTACTTTAACCGTTTTCAGACGGCTTTATTGTGATGTCCCCGCTATAGGGAATTGATACAGTTCTGCTCCGTTTGATTTATTTGTTAGTACACCAGAGTGACAGAGGCGCATGTCAGATTATTCAAAAGCTTACGTTGCACAAAAGACTAATTTTCCGGGCTACCCAAACGAAGCAACGCTTTGATGTCATCGTGACTTGTTGTCATGCCTTGACTTTAGGCACATGCACACTGTTGCGTTTTCCTCTTTTTGTACTACGTGACTTCGAGGTTGAACCGCGTAGGGAAACCCTACACCCTACCAGCAACCAGAAACGTATCGCATTTTTCTCATAGCAAACTCACGGTGGCCAAGTAAAGTAACTATAAGCCATAACATCCACTTTTGATTGTTTCCCTGGTAAAATACACGACCGGCAACCGCACGAACAACGTCCTCCGCCTACATACCCCGTAACAACTTAGGGGATGGGAATGATGCATCAAGGCCAAGGATAGCCTCCACAGTTGCCCTTAATGACAAGAATGACTCGCAGAGGCAAACTAAATACGTCATATGAAAGAAAGAATGAGTTAACACCAAGACTTAGTGTAAGAATGAGTGCTTTATTGCACCCCGGGCTGCCTTATTGAAAAAAAAAAAAAACAATTTGAAAACAGTTTGGATATGATCTGGCCAAACCCGAAATGAACTGGTTGTAGCGGAATTGTGCCGGGCAAGTTGTAAATCAAACTGTCGAAATTGGCTGAACTTGAGAAATGAACTAGACAAGCTGGCAGCTGAATTGGTTGAACTGTTAGTTGTATAGTTCAAACTAATAGCTGACCAGGCAAAACTGATAGCTTTAGCCGGCGACACTGGTGTCATAATTTGCAAGCTGTCATTCAAACAGTTTGAGCTGGCAGTCGAACTGCCAATGACTGACAACGAAGTTTCACTATTATCAGCAAAAGTATCGCAATAAAATGTTAAGCCACAATTTAAAAGATGCATTATTATTACCTGTCCTGTAAATAAACGGTTATTATATTGTTCTTATTTTCCACTTGCGGCATCATGGCAGACCGTTCTCTTTCCACAGCGCCATAACATCACTTCCTTCCGTCCTAGAAGCAATACGCTCTTTCATTCCCGATATTCGTTAGGGCGAGAAGTGATCCATGTATGCACCAACCTCCCCTTTCCGTAAAAAACTCTCCTGTCGACTTGAAATTTCTCGAATCACGGACATGGTTTTTGCAGGGTTGTCTGATTTCGCAAGTTCCAGAATGTGCAAAGCATTAAGTACGCCTCACTTATGAGCCGCCCATGCGAGCTTTTTATGAGCACCAATGAATCGAAAGGGTGATTTCGTTTTCTGAGCACGCCCAAAGGGCTGTCTGTACCGGACACTTCTCCGCTGCATAAAGTTTGGCAAGCGCAAGCCTATCCGTCCAATTTTTTTTTTTCTTTTTGGCGATTAAGTTTTTTGTTTAACGTCCGCTTGTGTCCTTTTGCCGAGGCCTAGAGCATGCTCATCACGTGGGTCTGGACAACCGCTCATACGCTTTGTTGGCTGTCAAATAACCCGTCAAGGCCACCGCTGCTGCTCAAGCCTCGAAAACGGGAAAGGGAAGGATACAAGGGCGCTGCAGAACAGATGGACAGGTAACAGGTAGGCCATTGGCAGGTGGCGTGTGACGTCAAGTATGACGAGCACCGAGGTCACAGAAAAGCAGAGGAGGCGAGGAGGAAAGTCGTGATGTTTACATGGGGGCATGTCCAAACAGATGATGGGGCCCTGGACTTTAACTTTCATATCGTATGGCGGAAAAGTATCGCTTCGCGTGTTCCGAAGTCGCGTCAGACAGGCTGGAAGGACGGATTCTGTCCTCGCACGAGCGGTAAAGTTACGGGCCTAACATTTAAACTATTTTAACTGTTTTCAGACGGCAGTATTGTAAAGCCCTCGCGGCACTGCTTATGTTGTATTCTTACGAGAGACATTGATCACCGAAGAAAACCGAGTACGTCATTGAGCTGACAGAAAAGAAAAAGACACGAGAGGAAGGAGGCGGTGCAAACAATACACTTGAGCATTTGCACAGGGGAGTCGGAGTCGCCGGAGTTTCTTTTCTTCTTTACACGAACCAGTTTGCGACCTTCGGGAGCTCATAGAACAAAATGCAGTGGAAAAAGGCAAAGAAAAAGTGACAGCACCTCCACGTGGTGAATGATGTTGATTGGGGCGAAGCTCTGGTGGTGCTGGTGATACTGATTTTGTTCATAGGTAGTGCTGATGGTGCTGATTTTGATGGTTCTGATGGTGCAAAGTTTAACACGATTATATACGCATTTGACTGCAGCGCTCTCTCCTGTATATACGTTGAGCGGCTACATGCAACGTTTCATCCATGACATCCCCAGCTCTTGAGTTACTACCACATCTCTGAGCCCCCTACTCGTCCCGCAGTCTTGGGCGAGTGGTTAAGGCGATGGACTAGAAATTCATTGGGGTCTCCCCGCACAGGTTCGAATCCTGTCGACTGCGCAAACATTTTTTTTTTTAAGAAGACAGATGGGATGGCAATCGATGTGAGCACGGACGCCGGACGGACAAGGCTAGACCCTAAGGAGCTTTGCCCCTAAAAGGCGCCCCAGACCTCAAGGTTGTTAACTCTAAGCTTATCCAAATGCAGGAGGACAAAGCAGGAGGCGCGGTCGCTCCGACGGGACGACGGATATTCTGTAGCCCGGTTACAGATTCTCTTCGGCTCCCTGTTAGCGCGGTGGTTCGCGAGCTTCCGTGACGGGGAGCACGTGAGCTCCAAACTCGATGACGTTTAATCCTCTCCTCGCGGAGAAACTCCGTCGTAAAAATACACCTGCAGGTACAGTTTTCCTCCGTTTGATTTATTAGTTATGGCGTCAGGGTGGGAAAGGCGCATGCCTGATTATTCAAAAGTTTAGGTTGACACAGGACTGAATTCCCAGGCTACCCAAACGAAGCAGCGCTTCGTTGTCTTCGTGACTTGATGTCATACCTTGACTTTAGGCACATTTGTACTTTTATGTTTTAATATTTTTGTACGACGCAATGTCGAGATTGAAGCTCGAGTCACCTCTAGACTCTTTTTTCTTATATAATCAAGCTACAGAATTAACTGGTTGACACTATTTGTAGATTGCACGGATATCCCGGTGTTGGATCTTGACGTCCGTCCACGTAAAGTAGTCAAACGTAGGCAAACGCTATACCGCGTGAGATACCAGAAACACATTGCGTGTTTTTTACAACAAACTCACTGTGGCCAATTGAAGTAACTATGAGCCATGACGTCTTTTATCTGTTTCCCTGGACAAATACACGACCGGAAACCGCACGGACAACGTCCTACACCTGCGACCTCCATAACAGCGTAGGGGATGGGAATGATGCTTTAGGGCCAAGGATAGCCTTCCCAAATGCCCTTAGTGACAAGAATGACTCGTAAAGGTCAATTACGAATGTCTTCAGAATGAATGAATGAATGAATGAGCTAATACCAATACTCAGTAAAGGAATTAGTATTTTATTCTCGCATCACAGGCTCGCCAAGTGATCTACAACAAAGTTGTCTTAATATCACCGAAACGTTCGCAATAAAACGTTCAGCCACAATGTATTTTCCACTTGCGTCATCATGGAAGCCCGTCCTCTTTCCACAGCGTCATAACATCACTTCCTTCCGTCCTAGAAGCAATATGATCTTTCATCCGGGATATTTGTTCAGGCGAGAAGTGATCCATGTATCCACCAACCTCCCCTTTCCGTATAAACTCTCCCGTCGACTTGAAATTTCTTGAATCCACGGACATGCTCTTGTATACATCCAGGGACTTGGGCCTCCTTTCAGGAGGAAGGGAAGCCAGGGACGACATTATAGTCTTCAGATCATTTTTGAACACCTTTTTCATGCTTTCAAGGCTCGTGGCATCCAGTATCTTATTGAGTAAGACCTCGTCTTCTCTCAAGACTTTCCCGTACTGCTCACCCATGAAATCGGCTATCTCAAGAATGTGTCCTCTTTTGTCTTTCTTAAGTTGTTCGAACGTGAAGAAGAGCACATTTGAATCATTCCGATGTTTGTACCACGCCAGCAAGTGGTCAATGTAATCGCCGTACCCAACTCTACCATTTATGAACATCTCAAAATACTGTTCGAACGTGAGGTCTTGAACCTGGGGTACGGGGGCGGTCTTTGTGTGGTAGTAGTAGGACACGCAGCAGGCGAACGGGTTTCTGGCAATACAGATGTACTTGGCTTCTTTTGAAAAGGGACACTTTGAAAAAGGTAGATGTGTCTTGATGGCTCCTGGCCGTATCATCTTCTCGACGCCTTCTGCTCCGAGAAACTCTAGGAAAGGCATCCGCAGCATAAACTCGTTGAGGTCCTCGGGTGGTGTGCCTTCGCTAATGATGTTGTAAACGATGTACTGAACCCAGGTCGTGCCGCACTTTGGATAGGTCGCGATGAATAGATCATCGCGCCGTGGGACGTAGGCCAAGGCGGACCGAATATTGTCTTCGTGGATAAATCTGCTGATGTACAGGCCATCAATATCTCTGTGCAGCTGGGTCGTCATTTGAATCAGACTTCGTTCCTATAAAGAGTGATACAAAACGTATTTACAGTACTTTTTCCCATAAAAGGAGACAACGGTGCGAGCTTTTTAAACTTCCTAAAATCAGACCATCCTGCAAAGAATGAGCAGAATTGTCTATTTTGCCTTAAGTAACAGTTAGTAGAGGTTCAATTAATACATCAATAATCAGTTAGTAGAAAGGTTTATTAAGCGTACTTATTTGGATAATATGCAGCTGGCATGCAAGGAAGCCTCGCTAACAGACGACGGAAGGTTCCTTAGTTGGATAACATCCCAATTTTATGTGTGATCAATCTAAACATATCAGCCGCCAAACTCGGGGCTTCGACCTTAAGAAATGCAGAAAACAATAGACCGACACGCTGTTTAGAAACAAGCCCGTGTTTGCGCACACCAGGTGTGGGCACTGCGCGAGAGCAGAAACCGAATTCACGTGAAGTGTCTGCGCATGCGCAGTGCCGTCGACAGGGCCACCGCAGCTGCGTGACGTCAGGGCCGCGTGTTGGTCTATACTCTTCGGAATTCCCCTCAGAAAATATCGGCTCTCCAAGGACTAGCCGTCGCGAATTGCGAAAACCTTTATTCCGTTTTACGTTAGATCCGACCTCAGCCACCGCTACGATCAGACAGAGTCCATCAAGCGACGCCAAAAAGTGCATTATCACGCACTCAGTCCTCAACTTGGTGCATTTGCTATTGCAAAATAAAACAATCACGAACCAAAAAAAAAAAAAGGGTGGCACGCATTTTCTGCGCTCGATTGGTTTAGCCTGCGATTTCAAACGCGCAAAGACGACGAGCATTATGACGATGTACTTTTGGCTCCACTTGATTGGCTCCGTCAGATCGCAGCGTTCTCTACAGTGGGAGTTATTGTCATACGGAGTGTGTGTACCTATATACATAGTGCCTTAAAGAATCAGTGGTAAAACTTTTTTTTTTCGTGAATGCACACAATGTGGGACAGTTTCCATAAGTTTTTCTAACAACACGTAACACAATGACAATCTGAGACGCCATCAAAACTGATCTTTTAGTCGCAATAAGATAAGCGACTGGTATCATTCTGACTCACCTGAATTGTCGGTATATTGCGCCTGGTCTGTCGAACTTTCTCTCTTCTGTGCCTTCAATATGAGCGCACAGGCACAGGCACAGCAATATGAGAAAGGTTTTCGGGGACCGAACAAAATCGTTACCTTTATTTTAAATGAGCAAAGTGACGAGAGCCAATCGAAATTGTCTCCATCATCGGGGTCATCGCTCTTTAGCAATCCACATGCCTTCCAGGAAACGGACGATCGCATGCCATGCGCCGCTCACAAAAGACAGGAAATGCAGTGACGCGAACGGATGCGCCAAAGGTCAGAATCTTCGCGCCGACATCCGGTTACTGTCATTCACAAAAATCCTTTAGGAGAGTGCTTTGTCGTTCATCGTGTTGACGCTGTTTTTTTTTTTTTTTGTTTTTTTTACCAATCTTTGTTTGTTTGCGTGGATAATCGGTTCTAAAATATATGATACTGTCATCAGTTGTCAGCTGAGTACTATAGGATGTTCATTTACAGTTGTGCTTACCGTGTGAATTATGAAAGTAGGTTTTTCCCAGAAGGTTCATCTGCGTCAGAAAAAGGAACACGCCAAGTGTCGACTACAAAATATAAACGCGCATTATATTTCTGGATATTTAATTTAATGGGACTGGTACCCTTAAGAACTTCATTTTGAATTCGGTGACGCTCCAGATAACAGGTCCGCAATTATCTGTTTTCTGCTAAAATACTGCGGTAGATTTTAGATTAAACACGCTGTGATTCCTTAACGTCGTTTCAGGTTAAGTCCAGAAGCAGCTGACGCTGAGAGCTGACGGGACCAATCAAAAAAAGCTTAATGACTTGCGATTTTGAGGCTGCTTGATTGATCCCGCTATCTCGTAGCCTCGGCTGTGCCTGCACTTAAGTTGAAACAAAGTGCAGTACATATCTAGAAAATTGATGGGACACAACTACCTTCCCGGGTTTATTGTGTTCATAACGGGTGACAAAATCTTCTTCACAACCGTATAGATTTCGTTACCTCAAGATGAAACACAACCATTGTCTTTAATGTCTGTATTTTTTCTTTCTTGCTTTATTTCTTGAAAACCGATAAATAAATTATTACAAATTTTACTGAGAGCACAGTCGACCTAATTCTAAAAACAAAATGCCTAGTGAGAGGGCAGTAGTAAGAAAAATCACGTCCTCGTATTTTCTTTTAAAAAGTCGTTATCTTCCTAATTCTTATGCGACGTCACCGTGCCGCTCTCTCATTTGTCGGTATTTTCTTTAATCACCCTGAGCACCTTGCAGGGAAAGGATTTTCAGCAAGCGATTTATTCCCTCTAATGTAACTACAAGTTTCATAAGTATCTCAAGCGTGTCAGCGAGTTGTTCTGGCGTCACAATCATCACGTTTTATATATTTTGGATTTTCGGGATTGTTTTCTGCCTTGTATAGTCACTTTGGAACGCAAGCGGTGCGCAGTGCTCACGAGGAGGCCGGAAACACCTGAACCTTTGTGGCATGAACGTACGCGTGGATGATCAAAATCATCACCTGCACATTTCCTTTTCCATCGTTCTCGTTCACCTTTTTGAACAAATGGGGCCAAGTTACTGTTACTACGCAATAAATGTTATTGCTCATCCAACGAGGTTCGCGTGTCGCGGAACGTTTTTATTTGTATATTTTTTTTTTTTCGTGATAGAACATTCCGTGACGTTAAGCTTAACGAAATAAGTGTATATTCACAGCGGTTCATATTCCGATCTGCAGGACGATATCTGCTCATTGTTGGGATCGGCAAAAGAGAGGAAAATATTTTCTCACCCAAAAAGTGCCTCCGCGAGCACTTTGAGATGCGTACAAAACATACGAAGGGTAGAGGGCAGTCTTCTAGTTTTACCTTGAGGCATGTCTGAGTTTTCTTGGATCTGCCATCCCTGAAGCCGCTGTTCCACGGCTCCTGAGTCCGACAAAAAGACAGTCTGATGACGAAGTATGTTACTCGTTTCTGCGTTTTAAGAGAAACGCGTTGTCGCTAGAAGCTTGAAAGTAATGCGCTATTCTCACGTTAGTCTGACTGTAACGTTTTAAAGCGATAGACCTCCGACGTTTTTAATCATGCGCTGCGAAAAGGAACTTGTTAGGATTTGTTTTGGGCAGTACAAATGTGAGCGTTTCGATCTGTCACACGTGAGGGAGCGCGCCTGCTCTGGTGCGGAACGGGATAGCGAGGAAAATACAAAGAAACAAAAATAAACATTCGAAAGCCATCCAAGCACAGGTCAAAGCATACGTGATACAAAAGACAGCATGCGACCGTAGCTTTCAAGTTTTGAGCAGCTCTCCACGGGTGCACAAAAATTTGTTGGTCGTGTTTCGAATATGCGTCATTACGCGCTTTTCTGCTACAGTTTTCTTCTTTTTTTATATATATACTTTGTTTCGCTATAAGTGCCAGCGTAGCGCAGGCTACTAGAGAGAGCAGCGAGATTTTAGTATCCCTGCCAAACAATCGCGCTCGTGCAATGCGAGCATCGTTCATCGGAACATGCTTTTACCTCTAGCTTCGTGTTCGCAATCACATAAAGTAGAGCATACGTTCTCACGCAGGTTATGAAAGAAAGCAATACCAATAATAAAGCTGAAATTAATGTTTAATAGGACGCTGAGGCCACGAAGTTCCTAATTTCCTTCTTTCATTTCTTTATTTTAGTTTTAATTTTGTGTTACGTTTTCTTATCGCGCATCAAGAAAGGCTGATAGACGCTTTTATTCGAACGTGGCTCACTCATAATCGAACTTTAGATCGGCGCTTGTACACTCGAATGGCGTGGATGGTGCAGCCAGCATTAAATGGTCGCGTCTTAATTCACACGAGGGAGAAATCCCGGGGATTTCTCCCCGGCACGCGCATCCCACGACGAAAACGTCAGGCTTTGCGATGTGCAAAAGCCTCGCGTTTTTATCTCGTGATGCTAGCGTGCCGGGGAGAAATCCCCGGGATTTCTCCCTCGTGTGAATACCCGAGAAATCCCCGGGATTTCTCCCCCGTGTGAATTAAGACGCGACCATTTCGTCATGAAATGCGCGTGCCGGGGAGAAATCCCCGGGATTTCTCCCTCGTGTGGACACCCCACGGACGCGCTCGCACCCCCTGCCCCTGGAGCGACGGTATCATGCATACAGATTCGAACGCGAGTCCCGCGAGGTCCGCGCTTCGAATGACGCATGACACTCTGTTCAAGGAGGAAACTTGGCACGCGGCATTCGAGTCACGATGAATGGGTGGATGAATGGTAATGGCTATACCCTTTGCAATGGGCGGCAGCTTGCGTCACCTAGCCTAACGGATATTGTGCACACTCGTGTTGGCAGACTGACTTTTGTATGACGTACGAGCAGTGTGACTCCGCTTTTAAAGGGACCATGAATATTAGCTTGGAATGTTTTCTTTTTATGCGAGCTTACCGCCTCTAGTGGAACCCAAGTACACTTCCACAAAACGCGACTGACCAAGAAACTCCTTTGTTGCGGTGTAATTTTGAGGAGAAAAGCGAGCGATTTCATGCAATCTTTCCTTCGCAAAACTTGACGTCGTTTGGGCGTCACAGTCCCCCAGAGTGACGATATATGAGTGCGGCCAACGTTACGAGATTACTTCAGCTGTGGAACTCCAGCGGAAGGGAGTACCCCCCTCACTCACTTCAATCCGCCTGCCGTCGTTCGAAGTGCCATCTAGATTTTCGTTTCATAACTGTGCGTTCCATAGAGCACACTCTAAGAAATGAGGGGAGTTCGAGGGAGTTAGACGGCGTGACAACACCCACAGCGTGTGAGCACCCCTCAGGAAGGAATATCCGCTCTCGAATAGAAGGAGCGAGCAAGGGGAAAGAGAATGGAGTGCTACAAAAGTCCCCTGGGGATTCGAAAGGATTATGGTCAAGCGGAGTCCCTGAGGCCAGGCTTTTTTTTGCGAAATTTGAAAGTGGATAACTAGCTTTGTGAACGTTAAATCCGATCCTTGGGTTTATGCTTTTTACCTTACTTTTTTTCTTTTTGATTCTGAAGTGCTTCAAAGTTACTGGCGTTCCCTTTTTCTTTATTCCGTTTTCTTATTTACTTCCAATCTCGAAGAGTTACTTGACTGTTCCACGAAGGGCGCTAACGCGCAGGTCGACAGACCCACCCACCATGCCGTAGCTTGCATTTTGCGAATTCGAGTTATGACAATCTTACGGGTGTGCATGTAACCTTCAAAGAAGATTTAGATCGGTATTGTTTACACTTCTGATACAAATGTCCTCGTCCCAGGTTTGATCCGGTAAGATAGAGACGACAACCAATGTGAGACAATCTGGGTAGTTGAAACGAAAATAAAAATATCCCGCAATTGATTTGTTTAGCGGTGGGAAACATTGAAAGGTGCGGCCCGGTGACAACCAATTTAGTCATCTGCACGCGCTGGTAACCGAAAGGCTTTTAACTTAGGAAATCTTTAGCAAAAGAATAAAATTGGCGAGAACGCGTGAAGTCACCATTTATTTCTAGACTTTAAGTTCCGCGGGCACAACGTTTTTCCGAACACTCAAAGCCCAACCAATATTAAACTTGTGCCGCGTTTTATATATCGTACAAACAAATTTCCAAATAAAAACCCGTGAACATACTCATTCAAGGCACAAGTTTTCACAAAGTTGTTTTGTTACACAGCGCCCTAACTAGCTCTACCGAAGTTACTAGTGCTGAGGAGTCAGGACGTCGTCAGAATTTTTTCCTTGGAATGATGACCCTGTCTATTCGCGTTAGGAATTCGCAGCTTGTAATTTTTGTATCGTTTATCTTAGGAAAAGAGATAGAAATCACGTCTATCTTTTTGTAAATATTTCAATTCCGCCGCGTAAAAAGCAGAGCAAGAAAAGGTAATATCCCGTGCCTTTTAACCACGCGCGGCGGCCGATGTGACGGATATTTGGGTACATCTGGGTGAGTTTCCGTAGCGCCATCTGCCCGAGGCGCACAAAGCCATACCCTCTGGTGCTGTGGTGAGAGAATGTGAGCACACACACGTTCAAACACAAAAGAGGAGATGAAAGGGGACTCGACCTTACAAAGACTATTAACAGAGCCCAGACACACAAGTTAAACCTCT